CTTAATGACGGAGATACCTATCTTCAGCTGGCGTTGTGATGCGTGGACGTCCACTTCTTGGTCTGTATACGTGGATCCCAGTCTGTCTGAATCCCTGAATAAGTCTTATGACCGTGATACGGTGGCATCTGTAGTGAGCGTTGGCAACAGCATTGTATGTCGACCCCATCTGCACCATCCCAATGGCTCTTTCTCTCTCTTCCGCTGTTAATCGTGGCATATTTCTCGTACTTGTGTATCAGATCTTGTCTTCCAGGCTCTCTTTATACCCTATAGAATCATTCTGCATGTGAAATGGATGTAAATACTGTTTGAATATTGCTGCGTTTGGGCGATTGATATTGCTATGTGTAAAATGGAAATGGAAAATGTTACTTTGCAAGCAAAAATGTTAACAAAGATAATTGTAGATGTTCCTAAACATTTCTTATCAAAGACACGTTTTACTTGTTTTCACTAATGCAAATCAGCAGAAAATGTTTTCAAAGACTGAAATCATAGCAATGATTATTTTATTACAGTTATTTCTTGTTTTAATAGTTGGAAAATGGTGACTTTGAATGGTTTATCTTTGTCCCAAAGAAGTATTTTATTTTATTTTGGACATCAAAATCACTATTATTGGTTTATTTCGGCATGGACGAATATAGGACAATTTAAATCTTCTGAAAAAGATACATTTCACCCAAATAGGAATGCATTTGAGAAAGTCTTTTTTCGTGATATGCACAAAGCCGTGTTGTTAAGCTTTCTTGTAAACTAAAACCTTCTAAAATAACTTTGATAGGTTTTCAGTAATTCATAAGGTAGGAGGGTAACGTTTCTTTTGGCGTCTAGTGTATTTGATGATTTGATCGTAGTTGTATCTTTACCATGGGTTTGCAGTATTTCGGCTACTGCTTTAATGCCTATAACGCTTTCATAATGTTTGTACGTATTGGTCATATCCAATTATCGAATGTATGCTTTCTTTTGCCCGCAGCTCCTGATGCTCGTGGTCGTTCAATGCTAATACTGAGTGTTCATGTGTCACATTGTTTCAGGAGTCAGACGAGTGGTGGGTAACAAGAAAGGGCTGTTGACTAGGCAACGACAACCTAAACACGCAGCATTTACCCTGCGCAGCAGATATCTGACCATGATGAATAAAACCAGTCCCACGTCCTCCTCACCCCTTGTACCGATCGTCGGCTAATGACGACCGCGTTGTCATAGTAACACAGATGTAAACAAATTGTTGTAATAAAACATAATGTACACAACAGCTAAGACGGGGTGTTAACAAGTTAATGTCTCTTTTTACTACATGTGGTTACTTTACATAAAGGTTTGTAATTAGTTTAATTGTGTAATTAATTTAATTTTTAATATATTTTTTTAGAGTCGAGAGTATAGAAATACGCAACAAAACCATTCTTGCATTCATTAGAACTTTGTACGAGTCCGACTATATCTTAAACATATGTTTATCATTATCAAAGAGTAATGACACCCGGTGTTCGCCGAAAGGTGGGCGTACCCTGACTCACGAGTGGACATTATCTATAACACGTGTTTGTTGTTTAACGCTGACCTAAGCAATAGTGCAGCTAAATGAAAGTGGTCTGTAAATAATGGAGGTTTTACAACCTGTGAAGATCGAGGTGAGGTGAGGTGAGGTGAAATTGGGTTAAACGTCGTGCTTGAGAATATTTCGCTCATATGACGACGTGCATGCGTGTGTATGTGTATGTGCGGCTGCTTGTACTAACCCAGACTTAAGCTGGTTTTATAGTGCTAGCCCACTGAGATACCATGCCGCAGTGAAGCATGAATACCCCACTCAGACACGTTATACTGACTCCGAGCCGAGCAGTCCTTGTACCCATTAATGCCGAGCGCCAGGCAGGGACCAACAAGTACCATATTTTAACGTCTTTTGGTATGACGCGGTCGGGGATCGAACCCGCGACCTTACCGCTCTCCGGGCGGACGCTCTAACCACTACACCACGGTGGCGGTCGTGAAGATCGAGGATAGAATAATATTGAAGTGTTTAATTTTGTTTGAAAAATGTCAACATATGATTGTTTTAAAAAAATGTTACATATGACCTTTTTTGCAACGCATCCCTTCAATATTGGTGTTCAGCAATCCATGCTTGACGAAACGGGATCTGGTGGTCAGACTCTCTGACTTGGTTTACATATGATTTTATTCCAAATGCTTAGATCGATGCTGTTGATCAATGGATTGTCTGAAACATTACTGAGTGCGGCGTTAACCAAACAAACAAATCAGGTTTACCACAGACAATCCAGTGATGGGATACAATTACAAGAATCAACAAAGCCAATGAGCCTGACTACCCAATCCAGTTTGTTGAGCCTTACGACAAACATGGGTCTACTGAAGACTAAATATAACCTGGAACCTCACATGTTCGAGTTATTTGGGTTAAATTATGAAAATGTTTTTTTTTCTGGCACCTGCAATCATTAATAATCACTGAAGACATGCATGCCGGTCGGTTGTATTGCGTACAATAGGCTTCAAATGTTCCTACTCATGTAAAGCAGATATGGAAATACATTCTTGACAACTGACTTGACAACTGAGTGAGTGAGTTTTACACCGCTTTTAGCAATATTTCAGCAATATCACGGCTGGGGACACAAGAAATGGGCTTCACATATTGTGTCCATATGGGAATCGAACCCGGGTCTTCAGCGTGACGACCAAATGCTTTAACCACTAGGCTACCGTCGCACCTTGTGAAAACGGAGCTTTGGTCAGTGTGCTGTGTTGCTGGCATGCTTGTAGGTAAGGCTTGAAGTATGTCTCTATTCGGTTATAAACAAGTCCAGCCTTCCTCTTTTACATACTGGATAGAAACTATAAAACCCCTTTTCACATCCTTGAGAAATCTCTGCTCAAAGCAGGGTCGGTTTTACAATATCGATTTACTATGTCATGAGTATAATCTGCCCTTGTAACATCATTCACATTATATTTTTTCAGGTTCATTTTCAGATGCGCGTAAATCCGTGAATGTACGGGTTAGAATTGATCTTTAGTAACCCATACTTGTCGGAAGAGGCGACTAACGGGATCGGGTGGTCAGACTCGCTGACTGGGTTGACACATGTCATCGTATCCCATTTGCGTAGATCGATGTTCATGCTGTTGATCAATGGATTGACTGGTCCAGACTCGATTATTTACAGACCGCCGCCATATGGCTGGAATATTGCTGAGTGCGACGTAAAAGTAATCTCACTCGCTCACTCTTTATGTAGATAATAGGTAAAGGCCAGGACTATGCGCTGATCGCCAAGGACTTCAATCTACTCAAGTGGATGGGGTCCGGACATCCTACTACCCGTACGCCGAGGAGATAATGGACCAGGCAGCCTGCCTCTTTGTAGAGCAGTTTTTCTATAGCCTTGGGTTCGTGTATCTATATGTGCTGTATCAAAAGGACAAAAGTAGCACCTGCCTCTTTAACCCAAAGGTTTGAATCAAGATATTGTTATAAAAGGAACCCAAAATGTCAGTGTAAATGGATAGATGCTTTTAATACATTTCAAAGTACATGTCCAGTGAAAACCCATGCAATACAATGGATAGCTGCGAGAGTATCTAATGCCTAACACGCCTTAATGGCTGAATACCGCACATAAATCTGAGATTGCTGTTTGGAAGCACACAATTGCCTCAATAATTACACAAATGTTAAAATAAATCTGTTCATACAAATAAAAGAAACACACAAAGTTTAAAATCACCAACATCAACTCGAAATTAAATTTGTTCATTTTTATTTTGACATACATGTTCATAGAACGTTTAACAAAAGCTGTCTTAAGCCATAGTCAGAAGTTCCGAGTTGGTATGGTCAAACGGTTTTGGAATCTTTTGGAATTTCAAGGCCAAACTATAGCATGAATATCAAAAGAAGTTTAAGAATTTACTCTCTGAGCTTCGGGAATTATATTTCCAAAAATAAAGTTTTGAAGGATATGGCGATTAGAATATAGTTTAATGTATCCTGGCAAGCGATTGATATTACAAGCTATTAAAATCATTGATGGCGCCTGATTGAGATACAGAGAAATATCAGACTTCTATGATCTAACCGGTATAGTATGTTTTGCCTCATCATGAAATATGAAGTACATAACGCCATAACAAATACATAGAAAATATAGAACTCTCACTGAGCTACAACTATATGAGTCGAATAATAGTTGTCTTCGAATATGACAACAGCTTGAAATAAGCTGAACATAATAACCAAGCAACTGTACTTGATTCAGAATACTTAACCAAATATATTTGACAATATGAAATTTCTGTTACGAGAATACAGGCGGTGGTTCCCCTTGTGATATTTGGTAATTTGTTCATTAAAGAAGTCAGATTTCAAACTATTTTACCACTTCCCAAGTGCTAAAGAACAAGCTACAGAAGAAACAAATCTTAAAGAGCGTATATTTGATTTGTTGTCAGTCGTTTTAGGTTATACTTTTTATGTCTCTGAACATGATATACTACAAAGTGGTTTTACCGATGCTGTATTATAGAACCGAACCGAACCGAACCGTACCTAACTGAACAGAGCAGAACAGAGCAGAGCATACATTCTGACCTTTGATTCGTTTGTGAAAGGGCACGACAGCATTGTTTAAAACTCCCAAAATTCCAAGCTAGACAGCCGGAATGGTAACTTTAAAAAATTACCAGTCCGGATACAAACTTGCCTGTCCGGTTTTCAACAATAAAAAAACAAACAAAATCAGGTTAATCAGGCTACTGATTGTAGGCATCGGAATGAACTACATAGCACTAACAGGCAATGCACCGAGTTTAGGTAAACTGAAAGGACACGTGTTGTGATTGGTTATCGTAACATGAACTGTCCAATCGTAAGTAGTTTCACATAATCATCATAATACCGTAAACACCTCAAACTGACGACAAGAGAACCTGTCTGATATGAAATATTTACTGTTAGGGGTAAAAATATCTACCAGACCACCGGACAGGCTACTTTTGAAATTTGACCGTCCAAGATGAAAATAGACCGTTCCGGACGGTCGGGCAGGCGGGAACTTTAAACGCTGACGACAATGAAACATTTTTACTTTGCAAAGAACTGCTTCACACTTTTTTACCATGGCTACGGATATATGCATTTACAACTGGTATGTTTTATGCTTTATATTGAATTTTGTTCTTGTCATAGATAAATAAGTAAGAGAGATCCAAATCAGATTGTGTTTTATACTGCTGGATTTGAAATGTACCTTCTGATTAGGTAAAACTTTGGAATAATGTCATATAGTTTTACGTTGGTTATCCAAACTGATATTTTCTTGGACAAAATAAAGTGACTTCAGTCGACTATCTTGGCAGTTTTAGTCACAACGTTACCAAGGAGATCTTCAATGGTGACCTTGACCTCTTGACCAGGGTTACTGACGCTCAGTGGGAAAGACCGTACTTCCGGTTCAATCTCGTCTATCAGCTGCTGTCCGTTCAGTTCCACGGTGTACCGAAACTGCGGCGTGGACGACTCCGGCACCTTCCACTGCACAATGTGCGACTTCGCCTCCGTGATCTCAAACTCTACAGCTGGTTTTAACGGAGCTGGCGGGAGAGTGATCTTGAAATCTGCTTCGGTTCCCAATCCGGCGGCTGGATGGATGTTTTCCCCAGTTTCCATGTAGAAGTAGCCGTAGCCGACGCCGGCGTTGTAGTTGTTTTCCCAGTCCTTGACCCGGTCGCCCTGGTTGACGTGTAGATGGGCAGTGTCCAGCGGGCGCCATGTTTTGTCTGTCCCTCGCTTGTAGCCGTGGCCGAGGTGGAACTTCCGGTCGGGTCTCCCAGTTCCAAAGAAATTCTCCAGGAAGCTGTCGGTGGTGGTTCGGAAGGTAATGTCCTTCACTGGATAGTCGAATGTGACCAAATGGGTCCACACCTGAAGAGAATGAGTGAATGAGTGAGATGAGTTTGAACAGTAGGTTAGTTATTTCAATGCGTGTCAGCTTGAATGCCCGACGTTCGCTAAGAACATGGCTCTGATAATCATGGCGAAATCAAATCAAAGGTAATTAATTTCTGGCAAATGTAAGGGAATTGCGTTGTGTTAGACAAATGGGACATCTATGACCCCCTCATATGTGAGTGAGTGAGTGAGTATAGTTTTGCGCCGCCTATAGCATTGTTAGCAATGTCACTGCGAGGGGCACCATGATAACACGTTTCTATAAAGTGAGTGATTATGTCGCTTTAAGCAATATTCCAGCATTTTCATGGCGAAGAATAACATGGATAAAGTACACTGTGTAGGGAACCTAACCCAGATGTTCGGCGTGACAACTAAACCAAATTCTTCAGTTCCATCGAAAGAGATTCCATTGGGCAAACAAGAAAATAGCTGTGAACAGTAAATAATGGATTACATAAATTCAGTGGTGACCCCCACTTGTTTGTTAAACGGGAAACCAACTTAGAAAGCAGCAACTTAGAAAGCCAAAAGAGGTAGACATCTCAGATGTTAGCACCTGGAATGAAAACTGAGAGCACAGGTATGGTCCTGGCAAACCAAGAACAACCAAGGACAAATCGTGAATTAGAAACCGTAATGATTACATCTAATGTACTTCATATTTTGGGGTGCCACTTCACAATTCTGGGATATGTTTATAAGTACCACTGCTCTGACTGAGAAAATCAAGGATTTTACCCGTATCTGAAATTCGAACCACGGACATCAGACAGGACAGTGTGTCAACAAAATTTCAGAAACAGTATCTAGTTATATCCCGTTATGTTCAAAGGATCGACCTTCTCCACGTGGGCACAATGTGTGAAGCCAATTTCTGGTGTTCCCCGTCGTGATATTGCTGGAATATTGTTAAACTGTGAAAACTAAACTCACTCACTAACTCATGATAGACCACATGGTGGACAAAATACGAATGTTCCCGCGCACCTTCGATGCTTGATTGTGGGCCCAAAATCCAAAACGTGTGTGCCCCCCATGTTGCCACACTCTGTTGGCCAGGGTGTACCAGTAGTTGGGCGCCCACCCCAGGGAGTGGTTGCCCATGTGGATCCCCTTCCCCTCGGTCCCGAAGTAGGACACCTTCGTCCAGAGACCCGTGTAGGACGCAGTGCTGGCAGGGAGGGAGGTGTCCTTAGGGTCCCAGATGGAGTAGATGTAGGACTTGTCGCCGTTGCCATGGTCCTGGATCCCTAGGTAGCCTTGGCCGTCCCCAAGGCTGTTCCACTGTAGAGCACAGTAGTAGGTGTTGGCTTGTGCACCGTCATCCGGAACATAGACGTCCTATCAAAAAAGATAATGTGAGTGAGTGAATATGATATTACGCCGCCTTTCGTCATAGTCAAGCACCATTACGACAGAGGACCATCAAAGGGTTCCTCTGGGACATAGACGTCCTAACAAAAGGATAAGGTGAGTGAGTGAATGTTATTTTACGCTGCTTTTAGTAATAGTCAAATAACGACAAGGAACACCATCGAGTTGTACCCTTATGGGGAATCGAACCCGGGCACCCGTCAAGATCCGGATTAGAATTGGTTTTCAGCAACCTATGCTTGTCGTAAAATGCGACTAACCGCATTTCAGCAATATGGCGGCGGTCAGGACGAGACAATCCAGTGATCATCATCATGAGCATCGTTCTACGCAATTGGGATACGCTGACATGTGTCAACCAAGTCAGTGAGCCTGACCATCGGAACCCGTTAGTCGCCTCTTACCGCAAGCATGGGTTACTGAAGACCAATTCTGATTATTATAGATTCCAGATTAGGGTGTGGTTACAATAGATTGGGCACAATGCGTAAGATACGCGGTAGCAATGTCACATTTACATGCCGTAATATTACTAAATCTTGACTCAAAGGGACTTTACACGAAGCTCACTCACTCACGCATGCTCATAATTGATAAAGTTACGTGACATGTTTACCTAACCCGTGAAGATCAGGGCTAGGCACCTTTGTTTGTCGTAAGAGGCGACTAATGGGATCGGATGGTCAGGCTCGCTGACAGGGTTGACAGTATCCAAACTGCATAGATCGATGTCCATGACGTCAGTCACCGGATTGTCTGGTCCAGTCTCGATCAGTTACCGCCGTCATATGCGGCATGCTGTGCGCGGGTTTAAATGTATTTAAACAAACAAGCAAACAAATAAACAATCAAACAATATTTACCTGCAAGAGAATATCGCCTGGGAAAGTATCACGGAAGTGGAAATGAATGGCCGGAGACCTGGTTGTGTTATCTGCCATTTTGTCCACTCAGTGTCCACGACTGTCCTCAGACCAGAGCTGACCAGGGATAAACACCGCTCAAATCTAACGTCCAAACAAAGCCAACGAGCTGGCGACAAATATACACCAAAGCTGTTGATAATTTTACTTATCAGAGAAGTAAATATAATTAAAGTGCTAATGAACTATTATCATGCTAATTCAGGAGATATAAATACATACCTATCGATGACCACCCAAAGTGCTTATGTCAGTGTATAATAATAAGCATGATAAGGGGGTCATTGATCCCATGTTTATATAGGGCTTATGGCTTTCAAGTGACACATGACACGATGTACTGTTAGGGTAGATACATTACATGTATAGGCCCAAACACGTGTTGTGTCTATATACAGATTTATGCATACAATGATATCCAGTTAAAGTTGGACTGGAGGTTAAAACATATTATAGCCCAGTTTCATTCAGAGGATGTCGGAGACCCAGGATGGTGGGTTCGAATCCCGATATCATTAGTTTGTCAACACCCGTGTTCATATGTTACAATACGATAAATAGACGAACGCTTAATCTCTGCACATATATAACTCTGAGAAATAAAGAGCTCCAATAAATTGAAAAGACACCCCAAGGAGAAGGGTGATTCAGAACCCGAGCAAATCTGGAATTGCTTCATTTAGAGCATCTGCATATAGGCAGTACTTGGTCGAAGGGCAAATAGCATGGTTCAGGGACTGTGAGACACACTACTATAATACTTGGCTTACACAACTTAATGTAAACTAAAGTACTCTTCAAAACGTCGTTCAGCCTCACTTACCAATTAAGTTACGTGGTGGCGAGTTAGACAAGTGATTCATGCGTTGTCGCAACATATGGACAATGCCGGTTCTGAACCATACAAGAGTAAACTGTATGAAGCCATATACAAATACAACACCGTGTTATATCAAGGAGAAACAAACTTATTTACGTATAAACCGAGTCATAATGACCGCCACGTGCAATAAACTACTGAACACAAGCTAACAGAAATGATTGTGTTTGGTCACTTGGAAATAGATACGTTAATAACTGCTACAAGATGCTACTACATTTATAATTATCGTCTAATATTTGTCGGGGTAAAGATGAGCACATCAAATATTACAATATATGGGGAATTTGGCAGATACCCGCTCATCATATCTTCACAAATCAGGGCGATTAAATATCTGTTAAGGTTATTAAGAATGCCACCCTACCGTTTACCGAAAAAATGCTATATTATAGGATATTTTACAGAGTGCTTGCTCAAGGCGCTGGTATTTTTTCCACTCGATCACTGGATGTCAATCTCAACGGCACATCGTATTATCAATCTCAACTCCCTGGGGAGTATACAATATGATGTTACTATATGACAAAGAAGGTAAAAAGAATTGGATAACAGATGTTAAACACCTACTTTTTCAACTGGATTTAATCATTTATGGTATGAACAAAACGTTGAATGTTCGTCATTGTTTCTAAATACATTCACGCACAGATTCAAAGATATTTACCAGCAAAAATGGTTGGAAACAATTTCAGTAGACACAAAATGAAATTATTACTCAATCTTTAAAACACACATTTATACTAAACGTTATTTATCATGTGTTCCGTTGTTCATCTCATGATTTATTACTTGAAAAGGTTTATGAATATCAAAAGAGAGGATAGAATCTGTAGATGTTGTAATAATACTGTTATAGAAGACGAATATCATCTTCTACTATGCCCAGCATATAATACTATACGTAAAGAATATATTAAAGAACTCTACTTTGTCATTCCATCAATGGATGAATGTTCTTCTCTATTGAATTCCTCAAATGAATTTGTAATTAAAAAAAATGTTGCGGTTTTCATTTATCAAGCCATGTTGATTAGAAAATTGTATATATGAAATGTACTTTAGGCCCGTGGCCTCCTCAGTACTGAAATAAAGATTGATTGATTATCGTAACTCATGAAGGTGTTTTGGTAGAATTGTGGATAAGGCTTGCGCTCTTCACACCGAAAGCCCTTGTTCGAGTCTGACGTGATACGGTTGCATATACAGTTATTCTTCTTGATAGGTAATAATTTATCTTCTTTGAGTGGCATTTTAGAAGTTGGGAAGTACAATATAGAACAAACTTTATGGATAACAACTTCTTTTTATTCGTGAGTGCGACGTTTCGATACAGATTCTTGTACCGTTGTCAAGCATAATGGGACATGAAGAAGGGGGAAGTATATATATACTGGATGTAACAATGTAACAAAGAAAACAACATAATTAACAGCTTTCTGCCCAGACAATTATGTTAATTATGTTGTTTTCAGGTTGGTTCAACTCAGAGCACCGTGTGTGCCACCCCCCCTCTCACACTGACCCCAAACAGCGAATGGAGCGTCTCCTGTAATGAGGTGCTTAGTCGATCCACCAAAGGCCTTTCAGAGAAAATGTCAGTGAACAGATAGGGAGGCAGCAAACCTAAATACCCAGAGAAATGTAGAGTAGGCCATCTTGGTACTTGTGATGGATGCCTGACGCTTTGTAAGCGAGGTATGCATTTTTGTCATGTGTTTCCTAAATCTTGTCAGTCACATGCATGTCAAACGGGGCAGAGGATTTAGTTAAATATGTCACACAAGTACATTAGACGTTTGTTTTTAACGCCGCACTCAGCAAATATTCAGCTATATGGCGGCGGTCTGTAATCAACCGAGTCTGGACCAGGCAATCCAGTGATCAACGGCATGAGCATCGATCAACCAAGACAGTGACCCTGACCATCGGATCCCTTTAATCGCCTCTTACAGCAAGCTGAAGCCCATTCTGGTGTCCCCTGCCGTGATGTTGCTGGAATATTGCTAAAAGCGGCGTAAAACCAAAACTCAGTCAGTCAGTCTTTCAGCAAGCATGGGTTGCTGAAGGCTAATGCTAACTCGGATCTGCACGAGTCTTGACGAAAGAAGAAGACAAGATCATAGTTGGTGTGGTTACGTCTTGGGATATACTTATGATTGTCAATTTCCGTGACATACAATTCACGTTTTGGGCAGTACCATGGGTGGACCTCCCAGCTAAGACCACAACCATGGCGAAAGCAGTAATAATTAGGCTCGAGCCAAGTTACTATTTTTAAAAAAAGCTCACCATCCACTGACAATGTGTTGACTGTCTCATTAAAGTCTTTGCATAATCTACATGACATACCTAATGTACTCATATGCACGGTTAATTATACATGTGAACGTCCTTGACATTACCTGCATCATGCCAGTACCAATACATAATTTTCCAGTCACAACATGACCTGTGGAACGAACGCTATATGATAACCTGGTGTTATGTGATAGCCATACATCAGTGTATGATATCAGCTTTTATTGTGTCTACAGGCTACGTGCGTCAGTCCCATATATTTACACGTCAGCAGCCACGAAGGTGAGCTGACCGTGCAGCATTCGCCTGACACCGTGATGTTCCATCACCTGTATATCCAGATATGTGGTGTACACGATGTGAATGCGAATCAGCTTGGTTTAACTACTGGGGCGATGGGGTAGTCAGGCGGTTAAAGCGTTCGCTCGTAACGCCAAAGATCCGGGTTCGATTCCCCACATGGGTACAATGTGTGAAGCCCATTTCTAGTATCCCGTCGTGATATTGCTGGAATATTGCTAAAAGCGGCGTAAAACTAATCTCACTTATTTAAGTACTAAAACAATACCGTTACTGTTTTGTGCGAGTAGCGGTTTATTTACTGAAAACTAGTCACGTTTTCATAACTAATTTAAATAAGAACTCATTTTTTATACCATCGTGGTTGTTAGTGAGGCACTGGATTCAAACAACCTTTCTTATGTGTTTTATGACACTGTATCGGCAATGTTTTGGGGAGGTCACATATTTTCAAGCGTTTTGTTTTGACGATCCGTGAATCATATAAAAAACGACTTAATGCACGTGGACTCGGGAATTACATATTGCATAGACATTGATACTTTAAACGTGGGTACGTTGATACTTCAAACGTGGGTACACTGATACTTCAAACGTATGTACGCTGATACTTCAAACGTATGTACACTGATACTTCAAACGTTTGTATACTGATACTTCAAACGTATGTACACTGATACTTCAACGTACGTACACTGATACTTCAAACGTACGTACACTGATACTTCAAACGTACGTACACTGATACTTCAAACGCCTATAGACTGATACTGTACGTACTGATCTTACGTACACTGAAACGTATGTCCACTGATACTTCAAACGTATGTCTGATACTTCAAACGTATACATCATGTACGCTGATACATCAAACGTATATACACTGATATTTCAAAGGCCTATAGACTGATACTGATATGTACACTGATACTTCAAGTGCATATGCGCTGATACTTAAAAAGTATATACCCGATACTTCAAGCACCAACACATTGATAATTGAAATGCATATTCACTGACTCTTCAACACCTGCATACCCATACTTCAAAGGCATATGCGTTGATACTCCTGACGCATATTGACGATCACTCGTACTTTTAACGCCTATTCATTGATAATCGAAACGCCCATACACTGAAAATCTTCTTTTCCCACATTTCATATATTGATTCAAATTGATGTTATGTAACCTGATTGTTATTTCCTTGTCATGTCATGCTTGGTACATGGTTCGATTCCCCCAAATGAACTCAATTGTCTGAAGCCGGCTCTTGGTTCGTCTCACATATACTAAGTTACTGATAAAGTCCAGTGACGTTGTTAGAAATAATTTTATCACAAGACGGCACACTGTGTAATTTGTTTGTTTGTAGCGTAACGCCGAATTAACATCATTCTTACCAGATTACCGCAACCTGTTCATGATCGAGTCTGGACCAGACAATCCAGTTATTCCTAACAGCGATTCTAGTATGGTGCAGTGCGATGGTAACAACCGTACATGACCAATATTGGCTCGGCTGTGTAAAGCATTTCAGATACAGCAGTGCTTGTCAGCTTAATTACAAGGAAAGCCCGAAATTAGTCTCGTTTCAGACGTTTACCACTTCAGTGAAAGAGTACGGGTATGGCATCAGACCACAGTTACCCCCCTTTACCGTGACCCGGAAGGAAAATAGCAGAAAATAGTGCCTTGTGTAAATGGGCTGTTCTGTCTGTGCTATTTTTTTCAGGTTGACTTGGGGTAGCCTAAATGAAAGTTCAGACATTTTACTTTATTCCAATTTTTTCCACAATCTGCACATGGTATTGACACCAGCCTTTCATGATTTGACCCCAAGCTGAAGGCTGTCTAGTGTGTTTCGGCTCGATACTTCCGGTGACCATTGTTGACAGTGGATACAGCTAAATTGAGGTGGTCAATCGAAGCCGATATTTTGCCGGTTAAGTGACAAGTGGCAGGTTGGTCAGCATGCAACAGGAGAACAGCTTACGACCGATATTAATTATGGCGGACTGGCATGTCATTGTAGATAGCAAAGAAGGGAAATAATTGTGGTCTGAGGCCGTATAGAGCTGACAGACCAAGAAACATAAACAATGTGAAATGAGTTTCGAACCCGTGAGGTTTCTGTTACACCTAAGGGACGAAACTCTGCAATGCGAATCGCGACCCGGGGCACCGGCCCCAATGGTTCACAAAGAAAGTTCTATGGATGGCACCTTAAACCCCATGCCGTTTCAGAGTACACCAATGTAACCATATGAGAGCCTACCTATACCTAGTTATTCAGGACCCGTAGCGACCCAAGTTAGAATTGGTCTTTAGTAACCAATGCTTGTCGTAAGAGGCGACTAACGGGATCGGGTGGTCAGGCTTGTTGACTTGGTTGACACATGTCATCGTATGCCGATTGCATAGATCGATGCTCATGATATTAATCACTGGATAGTCACAATGAAAACACCTTTTAAACTATTCACGTTGTCTTATAATATAATCCCCAAGAAGAAATGTGCTCCCTCAACTTTTTATTTTATGTTGATGAGTAGATTTTGTGAAGATGGATGCTCATCCTGTTGATCACTGGAGTGTCTGGTCAAACTCGATTATTTACAGAGTGCCGCCATATAGCTTGAATATTGCTGAGTGCAGCGTTAACCAACCAACCATCCAAACAACTAAGAACGTTCTGTGGATGGCACCTTAAACCTCATGACGTTTGAGAGTGCGGCAATATAACGAAATGAGAGTCTAGATGCCTAGTTATTCAAGCATTTGCTCGTCACGTCGAAGACCCGGGTTAGATTCCACACTTAAAATTCAATGTGTGAAGTACACTCACGGTGTCTTTGACATAGCTGGGGCGGTGGGGGGGGGCCTAGCGGTTAAAGCGTTCGCTCGTCACGCCCGACCCGTGTTCGATTCCCCGCATGGGTACAAAGTGTGAAGCCCCTGCAGTGATATTGCTGGAATATTGCTAAAAAGCGGCCTAAATCTAAACTCACTCACTCAGTTAAAATAGCTGGAATACTCCAACAAGCGGCGTGACACAACAGTCACCCGATAATCATGTCACTAATTTAGATAAGTGAATAGTAAGCAATCAGTTCAGTCCCCAGCGAATTGTAATAAGATGAAGTGAGGTGGAATTGGGTTTAACGTCGTGCTTGAGAATATTTTGCTCATATGACGACGTGCGTGCGTGTGTATGTGTATGTGCGGCTGCTTGTACTAGCCCAGACTGAAGCTGGTTTTATAGTGCTAGCCCACTGAGACACCATGCCGCAGTGAAGCATGAATACCCCACTCAGACACATTATACTGACTCCGAGCCGACCAGTCCTTGTTGTACCCATTAATGCCGAGCGCCAGACAGGGCCCAACAAGTACCATATTTTAACGTCGTTTGGTATGACGCGGCCGGGGAGCGAACCCGCAACCTTCTAACCATCTTGATACTTGTACCGATTTCGATTTCGTTCCGTGTCAGTTATGTCCTGTATTTTAGTCGTTTCAATATTCCAGCTTTGACTGACACATCTGAAGATAATGATTCATGGTGCAAACAGAGTACTCGATGTACCTATTATGTAATGTTTTCGCATTATACGTGCATATTGTTTTAAGTACCGTTAAGAAAAAAGAAGGCGCTATCCAGCTTTATTGATACTACGGTGTTTTGCTGGCTGTTGTTTTACGGCGCACTCATATTCCAACTTTACGACAGTGACAGTTAAGTATTGTGTCGGTACTGTTCGTAAATTCAGTTCATAATAATTTAAATGGGAATAGTTTGTCCTGGATAAAATTGTTAAATTGATCTGCATGCGTTCAGCCATCTACCACCCGGTACACTTATCAATTCGTGATTTCAGCTGTCAGACAGAATGTCTGCATGCAGTGAACGACGAAGCCATTTTCACGTAGCAAACAGTGAACCACAACCAAATTGAATCCGTCATTCAAACCAACGGTCATTGGATTCTAGCACGCCCAAGGGGGGTAACTCTGCAGAAACAGGTTGCAGGTCACACGCCAGATTAACCCAGTAAAGGGACGGTTAAAACACCGCAACGCTCCTCTAAACATAACAACGGACAAGTAAACATTCCACCATTTATTTCCTCATTTATGATTAACACACGTTGTGTTGCACATAAGACATGATACATCATCTTTACGGTGACAGAATCGGGACCAGAGTAAGTGAAAGTGTGGTAAGATATACTCATAGCAAAGAATTAGGGAACACATGAAAGTAGCTGATCTATCTGGACACAATATACATGTAGGGTCACCATTCAACTTATCAAACATGGGCCACACGTAGTGTATTGGCTAACAAATGGAGATGGATACTTTAATGCGTCGGACAAGTTTAAATAACAGGTAACTACATGTCCGTAATATAGCAGTGGTAAAACCTTACGTTAATTGGTTAACAATACTGAGTAACAGTATTTCTTCGATATCTGCATAATGAGGTAACTAATTAGCAGTGGTAAAATCATCAATCAATTGGTTAATAAGAAAAGACTATGAAAATTATTATATTATAGTAATTCTTCACTAAAACACAAACGCCTATCTTCCTCTATACAGGGGAAATACATCTTGCTTTATAACTGTTCATGGTTGCTCTCTTTGCCCGTGTTGTGATGTAATAAAGAACAGGCAAATCTTCCATCACGCTTTTACTTAACTTATCACTTTTGACACAGACACGGTCTCGCCAAAAAAGATCCTCCAGTGTCACCGTGACCTTGTTCCCCTGTACGCGGTTCATGTCAAGACTCCTCTTCTCCGGATCGACCCCAGAGGCGACATGTTTACCATCAACGTCGACGGTGTAGCTGAACTGCGGCGTTGACGTGTCAGGGACGTGCCACTCCACCACGTCATGCGTAGCCTTCCTAATGGTGAACGTGATAGCAGGCTTGGTAGGCTTTGGTGGCATAGCGGTGGCTAGTTTGAAGCTGTGGCGGGTCCCGACCCCTGGGTCAGGGTGGATGGACTGACCCAGCTCCAGGAAGAAATAGTCAGCCTTAGATCCAGCGTTGTAGTTGTGGTTCCAATGGGCCGTCTGGGCTCCCTGGTTGACGGAGAAGTTGGCCTGGTCAAAAGGGATCCATGTCTTGTCCAGACGTCGCTTGTACCCATGACCATAGTGGACCTGTCTCAGCAGACTTCCGTCACCTCCTCCAGAGTAGTTCTCCATGAAGGACGACGTGCTGCTCATGAACGTCACATCTGCAATTGGGTAGTCGAAGGACACCAGATGGGTCCAGACACCGCTAGCCTGGTTCTGGACCCAGTACCCAAAGTGACTGTGTTTGAGTACGTCCCAGCGCCGTACCGCCAGTGTGAACCACACATCAGGGTCCCATCCCAGACTGGTGTTGTCGGAATGGAGCCCGTTTCCTTCGTGGCCAAAGTAGTGGGATTTGGTCCAAAGACCCTGGTAGGAGGCCGTGATCTTCTCCGTGGTTGCCGTCTTTGGGTCCCACATGGAGAAGATGTAGGTCTTCCCTTTGGGTCCGTGGTCCTGGATGCCACAGTATCCACCTCCGTCACGACCACCGTTCCAGTTCAAGCCACTGTAGTAGGTGTCAACCTTGGAACCTGCAGAGAGAGAACAAAGAGAGAACAATTAATTATACACACGACTCATCCCATTCCATCTCTATGAAACATAGAAGGTCTATACAAGAGTAGTATGACATTTCAATGACTTCCGTTATCATGAAGCATACGACTTAATGGATAACAACTTCTTGTTTATCGCACAGGAAAAAAAAAAAAAACCCGAATATTTTGTTACAGCTTATTTTTTCAGCGGTGTAAGAATCTACATCGAAATATCGTTCTATGCGATAAACAAGAAGTTATTATTTTCAATTCGTATGCTTCATTATTCATTCCCCAATGATGCCATGCACACAATCTTCCATTTCATCCTCTGAATATTTTGGGGCGGTGGGGTAGCCTAGTGGTTAAAGCGTTGGCTCGTCACGCCGAAGACCCGGGTTCGAATCCCCACATGGGTACAATGTGTAGAAGCCCATTTCTGGTGTCCCCGGCCGTGATGTTGCTGGAATATTGCTAAAAGCGGCGTAAAACCAAACTCAGTCAGTCTGAATATTTCACAGGACACTGTTTAAGAAGGGTGATTGGGTAACCTGATGACTGAAGTATTTCTGGTGACCTCTTCTGTGTTTTTGAGTGGAATGACCCCAAAGCGGCATAAAAACCATACTTATTCACACTTGCATAATCCAGATGATTTTCATGTTCATAAAAATTTAATTTTCTAACGTCTTGAAGCCTTTTCAGTAATGAAATCAGTCACTTTATGATCTGTTCTCAATATCTTTATCCACCATTTTCAACAGACACCACATTCGGTTTCCTTGGTTTCTCTTTCGTTCTTAACTGGTATGTAAAAAATCGACTAGGTCGTTATGGATAAAAAATCTTAAAACCTGTGATTGTACATCTAGAAAACATGCTGTGTAAACCATCGACCGTAACGTTTCGGAAACGAATTTCTAAAATTTAGTGAGTGAGTGAGTTTAGTTTTACGCCGCACTCAACAATATTCCAGCTATATTGCGGCGGTCTGTAAATAATCGAGTCTGGACCAGACAACCCAGTGACCAACAGCATGAGCATCGATCTGTGCAATTGGGAACCGATGACATGTGTAAACCAAGTCAGTGAGCCTGACCACCCGATCCCGTTAGTCGCCTCTTACGACAAGCATGGGTTACTGAAGGTTCATTCTAACCCGGACCTTCACGGGTTAAAATTTAGTGCTTTTTAATGCTTCATGTGCGATTTAGTTTCAAAGCGTTTCCTGTATACATATTTATGTGATGACGAACTGTACCTACCATTCTTGGGGACCAGGACATCGATCATGACGATGTCCCCCTGCTCTTGGTCCCCGTAGTTCAGGTGCTCTGCCGGTGCTCGGTTTGTCGTCATTGCGAGTCGTCTGGAAAACAAAATATATATGATTTGTGCTTTTGTTGTTGTTTAACGCCGCGCTCAGCAATATGCCAGCAATATGATGGCGGTCTGTAAATAATCGAGTCTGGACCAGACAATCCAGTGATCAACATCGTGAGCATCGATCTGCTCCCTTGGGATACCGTGGAATGTATCAACCAAATGAGCGAGCCTGACCACCCGATCCCGTTAGACGCCTCTTATGACAAGCGTGGGGTGCTGGAAACTATATATCAAGAGTGAGTGAGTCAGTGGATGGGTGGGTAAGTGAGTGAGTGAGTGAGTGAGTTATTTAGTTAGTTACCGCCCTTTGAACAGTATTTCAGTTATGTCATGACGAGATAGTGTGCTGTGGGGAGAAGGTTATGAGATGCAGATCTGGCGTTTCCTTCTGTGGTGAAACCCACGCCTTAAAACCCAACCAGCTCACTCTGAGAGAGTGAGTCAGTTGGGTTTTACGCCGCTTTTAGCAATATTCCAGCAATATCACGGCGGGGGACACCAGAAATAGGCTTCACACATTGCAACCATGTTGATTTGTATCGAACCCGTGTATTCGGCGTGACGAACGAACGCCTTTACGCACTAGGCTACCCTACCGCCCCAGCTCACTCTGAAAGATAAGTGCGTTGACGGAGACCGCGAATTATAATGTCACTTTTTTCTGTAACATTTATGTGAACATTTAGATGTAAGTCCTCCGTGTAAAAGAAAGTACTATGTTCTACTATTTATTATTTGTATGTTATATGTCTTATATTCAGACTACCAGCCCTGTCACAAAAATGTATGTAACCATTGTGCTCTTCATGTGCCGTTGTCTTACGGCCTGAAAAGCAATAAAGTTCTGTTCTGGTCTGGTTGGGCGGAAAGAGTGTCAACTTATTTGAACATAGCGGGCAAACGAGAAACTGACTCTTTCTTTGTTAACAACATTGCACAAACGTCCAACACAACTTAAAGTTACTTTTCCAGTAAACATAAGGATTTCGACGGGTGGAACTCGGATTCTAGGATCGGGATACTACATATACAAGAATCTGCGGTGCAATTGTCTGCGTTTTGCAATTTCCCGCCAAAGACGGTGGACTTTTTCCTCCCGGGTTCTGGCAATATTTGGCGCTCCC